TTCGAACACATAATATGTAGCTCGACTACATTAAATACTGGCTTGAATCCATTAATATGCAATTCGGATACATTAAAGAAATAAGAGATTTGGTAGATTTTTAAAAGTAATAGGAGATAATAGAAACAAGTGATACAAAAGCTGTGTATTTCTGTAATTTCTTTTAAAAATATTTTATTATTGTTTTTAAAGTTAAATATTGAAAGAACAAATGTGTCTAGCTTTATGAAACATACATCATACCAATAGAATTCTTTTCTTAAAAAAAAAGATAAAAACACATGTATTGATTTTAACTTTTGGGTTTAAAATCGTTAATATGAACACAATTTTTTGATGTAAAATGATGGCTTTTTTGTTTTCACTGCACCACAAAGTACTATGGGATTTTGAAGAAGTTACTCATATGATTGTCATAGAGAATTTGGAATATGCAGTTATAGGTTCTCTTATGACTGGCCTGACATTCAAGAAATGCGTAGATTAATTCCTAAAAAATGTGAATTGAAGAGAGATTGCAACATTCGTTTATTGAGTAATAAGGGCTACTTTATGAGAGGATTATGTTCACCTGCTCTTTTTATATCATTCAGGAAAATTGGTCATCCTTAAATGGGATACCGTATTTAATCTAGAGGTGGAAACAACAATATCTATCGTGTGAATCTCTTTGGACAAAAAGCAATTTTTTCCCTGGATGTTATTGCAGGGAAGCAAAATCAAACTAGACCAAGTTGTGCTAGAGTGAAGGTAGATATAGATATGAGAGAATTCCATCAAGATAGGAATGAGATAACAAAGTGGAGAAATTGATCAAAATAAAATATGACTATGCTACAAAATATTGTCAAACATGCATTATCCAAGGACGTAATGAAGAACAATAAGACATGGAGGAGACAAGAGCAGACTCTCTTGCGGCACATATGAGTGATGACATGGAGGAAAAAAAAGTGTCTGGAAAGCTACCAAGGGATAATTTGGTGGAGCTAAGCAGCACTTCAAACAGAGAAAATGTAAGTAATACAATATTCAGAGGTGACAATCACAATGAAAATAAAAACCAATTATCATCTAGACATACTAATTGTTCGAAATTGAGGATGCAAGAAACATACCAAATTTAATTGAAGATGAGGAGAAACACCTGCAACGGATGAAGATTTGGAGTGTAACATTCAACAAATTAGTAAAGCTGGTGATTTATCATCTAGACATACTAATAGTTCAAAAAATGAGGCAAGGAAAATCAAACAAACAATACCTTTACAGATTACAACAAGGAGTAGCAGCGAGAAGGCTCTATCAGTTATCAACGATTGAAAAAAATATCTTTCGAAATATCAGGTTGGTTAATACTCAAAAATCTTTTGAGGGATTAATAGATATAAATAAAGGAAATCATTATGCATTTATTGCTTTGATAAAATCTTTTTAAGATCCACCAGAGATAGATCATTATAAGAGAAGGCTGGATTTTGATAATGCTGTAGTAAATTTTTCAAGAAAATTTTGATATTTCTAGAGGGCGCAGTGGGAAGGAAACATCATCATTCTGAATATTGTGCAGCAAATTTACCATAAAATTAAGAATAAACAAAAAATTACATTATTTAACTTTTATATGCAAAATGCAATACAATGGAAAGACTAGAACTTTGGGACGAGATGAAAGGTGTTGTTGATAGGAAACTTTGTCCTTGGGTTGTTAGGGGTGATTTCAATGTTATTTTAAATGAGAAGGAGAAATTGAAAGGACTGTCTTTTACCCAGAATGAGGCCATTGATTTTACATCATTCATTAGATCATGTGCTTCGGCAAAAGTACAAATTGTAGGTAGCAAAGGATTGAAGAGGAGTTTAAAAGACTTGACACGATCTTGGTCAATCAGGATTTTTTTGTAGGAGTTTATATTTTCAGAGGTGCATCACATGATTCGACAAGGATCTAACCATGCACCCCTTCATTTGATATGCAAACCGGAAAAGGATATCACCGTTAAGTCATTTTTTAAGAAAACACAAAAAATTTAAGAAATTTGTGAAGAAGAATTTTGAAGACAAAAGACGGGTATAATATAATTTACAAAAGGTCATATAAACACGAAGTTCTTCCATCTTATGTAAAGGGGAAAAGGAAAAGGTTAGAAATTTACATTAACATCCAATGATCAAATTGGGCAAGCAGTAGTGGAATTTTTGGGGGAGCAACGATTATGTGGATGACTATGCAATGAAAGATCATATTTCAAGATGTATTACAGATGATGGAAATGACGTCATGTGTAGTCTACCTACGAATGAAGAGGTTAAAATAGTGGTGTTTGAGTTGAAGGGTAATAGTGTGTGTCATTTTTATATCAAGATTGTTGAAAGATAATAGGGGATAACATTATTAAAATGGTGAGAGCATTTTTCGGCGAACAAGAGTTGACAAGATTCATTACACACACAAATTTGGTGTTTTTGCCTAAGAAGGAGACAATGAAGCATTTTTCTAATCTAAGACCCATATGTCGTAGTATTTTTATGAACAAAATCATTTCCAGCTTGATTCATGAGGGAATTGTAATGGTTTTTCCTAAGCTTATTTCCCCCCACTCAGTCAAGTTTTGTAAGGGAAAGAAGTATCACAGAAAATGTTTTGTTGGCACTGAAAATAATCACGGACATAAAAAAAGAGCCAAGAATGTTAGCGTGATGGTTAAGCTGGATATGACCAAGGCATATGATAGAGTTTTAGATCATTTCATGACATCAATAAAGCTAAGTTATGATGGAACTTCAGAGTCTTCACTAATTAGCTATGAGCTTGTTATTTGTGGAATAATTTTTTCAAGCAATTGCATCCAATCACGGTGAATATTACATCACCATTAAAGAAGAGGTAGAGCATGATATTTTGTGACAAATAAAATCTGAAAATTAAAGTTTCTGATTTAATAATTAGACCAGACAAAAGGAAATATGGCACAAGATGAGGAAGTGGAAGTCAAAGATTTTACAAGAAATGGGGTATAAAATGAACAGAAGTCCTATCTCAAGAGATGATGTTGCATATAATAAAGAACATTAGAACTCCCATTAGTGAAGCTAAAACTGACAAGACCTGGTGGATTCAAAGTTCGAAAGGAAAGGTCACTGTGAAGTCCACTTTTTAAAATTTGAGAGGAAATAAGGCAAGAAAGAAGGTGGAGTGGCTACCATACAAGATTAGTTTCTTTTTGTGGAGAATATAGCCACTGATGATAATCTAAAAAAAATGCTGCGAAAGAGGGGAAATAGAGACTATGTCTTATTTATTACTGACATCTCTCATAGCCCAAAGCTATGGAAGCAGTTTGCTTCATGGGTAGGTATCAATATAAATGGATTAAATCTAAAGCAACTCAATTATATGTGATAGGGCTCAAAATTTCAAAGGTCATTCCAGCTATCATCAAGTAAGAGTTGTGAAAAGGAGAAATGCAGCAAGACATGGGAAAAAATATCTTATAAATTATATGTATTATCAATACTAGTTGACTGTACATCAATTCATGAAAATTCCCATGGATTAAAGGAATATCACACAAGTGGACATAAATGTGAAGACTCCGCTGAGGTATAAATCCACAATACTGTAAAAGGTTGTTAGATGGTTACAGCTTCGCAAGAGATGGATTATTGTAACACTGATAAAACAAGTAAAAGGAATCCTGACCAAAGTACTTATTGTTTTTGTCTAAAGAAAAGTTGAGGAAATCTCATATATATACAGAGGCCCAAAATTTAGGGATAACTACTAAAATGAAAGCAGAGGCAAAGGTAGTTTGGGAAGCATTACAATATTATGTTAGAAGTCAGCTAAACAAAATTCAGTTGGAGACGGACTCTCTAGTACTAAAAAAATATGATCTATAGAAATTAGAGTGTTTTCATGATTTATGAAAAGACTTCTCATCCTCAATGCTCTCATCAGTAATGACAGTAGGTTTGTCATTCAGCAGAGCCAGGTCAAGATCCATTCAGAGAAGTTCAATCTATTGAACACAGTAACAAGACAAAGCATGCGAATGAAGAGGAATAATTGCAAATAAATACATGCTCACATATAAAAAATAATGTGAATTCAGTAAAATGATAAAAGTATATCGTAATTCTCCTTTGGGTAGATACTACGACACATTATCATAATTTAAGTGTCATTTTTTACTCTTTAATAGGCAATTAAATGATTTTAACCAAACATATATGGCATCTTTGGGTATACAATATATGTTTGATTGAAAATATTAATTTACCTCACAACTTTTCACTATTCGTAGGGTGATAGATTCACCTTTGGATAAATTTTTTATGTTTTAGCAATAATGAAAGTCAATTTAACTAAAAAAAAATTCAATATAGACATTAAATTAACCTTCATAGATAAATGAAAATTTTATGAGTGCATATTTTTCTGAATCATACTAGTTTGGTCAGTTTGATGACTAACAAGTTATATGAATACAAATACATACATAATCTCATAATATTTTGTGCATGTCAATAACTTTTAACATTTTAGTTTGGCTACTTTGGTGACTAACAAACTATAGAAACATAATACATGCATTAAGTGATCATAAATATTATTTGTGTAGACGTGAATTTTCATTGAACTACTAAAAAAATTGCGTTTAGCGACAGATATTAGCGACGAACACTATTTAGTCACTATATAATGACGGAATTACTATTTTTTTTACAAAATTGAAAAATCATTTTTTGAATAACAATATAGCAACAGATTGACAATGGAATATTTATTGTGTCACTAAATATTAGCGCGAAATTTTGTCTATGAATTAAGTAACAAAGTACGGGTGACAAATTTAATAAATATTAGACGACGGAATTAATGACGGAAAAAAAGGTTGCTAAACATTTAAATATATTTTTATAAAAGTTATATAATATACTGACGAAAATATTCGTCATTATATATTTTTTTTAAATAAATACATTAATTTGAAAGCGCCGGATGTTAAAATCCGTCAGTAAATCCATTGCATTTTAATGTCATATATTCTAGGGCACAAATTTATTTCCACATTTTCAAGCTCCCACTCCAAAGAAACCTTTATCAGGCTCCATCTCCATTGAATTTTTCCAAGTATCGCTGCAAGCTCCATTGAAGTTCTCCCTCTCCTTTTCAAGTCTCTACTGTTAGCTTTCTAAGCCTTCATGTAGGCTCAATCTCCCATCTCGATTTCAATTTAGTTTAGCTCTCCATCTCAATAGGGCTGTGGTATTTACAAAATGGGTAGTTTTAACTTTTCTATCTGCAAAATATGAATCCCAACTCGTTTCTGCATTTGGATGTACTTATATTCGCTGAATTTGGGTATGAATGACTTCACTTGAAAAAATAATTGTTTGTCAGTTCAACTCGTCTTCTGAAAATAGAGATTTTAGTTGTTTGGGTGTATGATATTTTAACTCTTCACTCTTTCTATTTCATTTAGCTGGATTGCTTGAAGTAGGATTGAAATTTTCTCAAAATAGGGATTTTAAAAATTTAAGTGTTCTGCAAATATGATTTTTCTAGAATTTTGTTTCCCCTAATATGACATGAGGTTATAAATAGAAGGCAATCATATTATTTATATTTTCTCTAAAATAAAAATAATCAGTAAATATTTACATACTGAGCAACACGAAAGGAATGAAAATAGATTTAGTATGACATACCTGTTCAGAGTTGCTTTGAATCGTCTGAACTTTCAAGTATTTCTCTGATTGAAGAGATTGAGTAATTATCTCATGTTGATGCTTGCTGAAGTTATCTTCCTTTGTATGTTTTTTCAGAAAATAAATAAAAATCAGATTCATTGCTTATTGTATCATTGACCGATTATTAACTGTCATAGAGAGTAGTACATTTAGAAGCAAGAGTATGTTTAGCAGTAAATGATCGTTTTGACTGGGGTAACTTTTTTATCCAAACTGTTGACTCAAACTCATCTTAAACAAATGTATGCCTGCTATCTGACTTATGTTGTTAGATTCTGTGAATGAACATACTTGACAAGACTTTATTTTCTTATTAAAGTTGTATAGATGTATAGTTATGATGATTTACAATTGTGTTGGAGACTAAAGTTATATAGAGAGAAATAACAAGGGATCATAGTTAGATTTGATAGTCAAATTCATCCTATATGCATAATAAAGAAGTTTTCATGGTTCATTCTGTCTGTGTTTTTGACACAGCTTCACATTGTACGTCAGGTAAAAAAATTAAACGAATGAAGTATTATCTAGTGCTTAAAATCTACTTCTATTTGATTTTTGTATTTTGACTAAGATGGTAAACAAAAGTGGTTTCTTCTTTAGATGAAGTTTTTATTTCCTCCTATCATTTAGATCCATGTATAGATAATTGAAAAATCTTAAATCACTATCCAGACAACTAGATAGTAAGTCTTAAAAAGGGACTACCTATAAACAAAATGCATCCAGACAATTACTCATTCATATTAATTGTTTAGTTTTTGTTTATGTTCTTATCGTTTCACATTCTTTTTAATAACCAAGGTAATGAAGTGTTAAAATGTTGCAGAATCATGTTATTATAACCTCATCACTAAGGCTTGTTTGATATTTGCTTGAAGTAAGCCTCACTCTTTATTTTTATCTCTGATTTAGTTTAAGGTTTGAAGTATTTTCTTTACTCAATCTAACTATGATGAAGATTGTCGTCATTATTATGATACTATTCGAGTTAGAGCTTTTTTCTAAGAGATTAGTGAAAAATTTGGAGAATTCTTATTCTATTGTTGTGGGTGTTTTTGTGATTAGTTCTTGCTGGATGAAAAGTAGTATTGGCTCAATTTTTTTTCTTGATCTATTTTTTCGCACACTGGAATGTGTTATTTGTACTATAAATTAACTATAATGCTTCAATCCCTTTTCTTGATCTGTTTTTTCACACACTGGAATGTGTTATTTGTACTATAAATTAACTATAATGCTTCAATCCCTTTAGTAATTAGATAGTATCAATAAGTTCAGTGTAATTAGAATACTTCAATAAGTTCATTGAACAAATTGAAGATACCTGGATAGGATTTCATTATCACATTACAAATTGCTGGTCCTTGAAGCATAATATTTAATCTAGAGAAGATGACCTCTTGTTTGTTGAATGTGCTACCATTGAAATTTGATTGTTTGGTTTAAATGTGCTACTTTTGAAATCTGAGTAGTCTAGTGAAGCAAGGTTTAAGTTGTGGCTGCCTGTTTATGTTGTTAAGTTACTTTACATTTTCCTTGTTTGTTCAGAAATAATCGATGCTGCTAGCTTTCCCATTATGCTTAAAAATATGTTTATTTTTCTATTTTACTACCTACTCAATTGTTCAGATCTTTCTAATTTCACTCTGAGGCTTTAAGTTTTGTTTTAATTTTGTTAGTTTGATGATCTGAAAAGTCTTTCTCTATTAAATATATTTCTCTGTTAATTGTTATATGACTTGCATTGTTTTTTCACCCTATTTTAAGTATGAACTCATATCTTTCTTTTTTGACCTAAAGTTATGTAACATAATTAGTCTATTTCATGTGTATAATATGTTTTAAATGAATCCAAGGTCAGGGTATCCTGCTACATATTGTGTCGATGACACTTTTTGTCTTTGAATCCAGAAAAAATGAGTATAACGGAAGTTCTGGATGTTGAGATTAACTCATGAGTTGTGTTGATAACAATATATTAGTTTTTTAATTCAACTCATATAGTTAACAATTGATAAATTTGTAAATCAGTAATATAAGTATTCTTTCTGCAAGAACTTATAAATTTAATGTCAGATACTTATATTACTTTTGATTTATGATATCCCTCCTAACAACCTCTTCAAATTTATACAGGCTAAAACCTTCTAAAATATAACGTGATTTCTTTTGTATAGACTATTGAAAAAGTTTGAGATTCAACATCAAGTGATTTATATCGACATGTTCATATGAAAAATCATTTGTTGGTGAACGTTCTCGAAATGTCCATGTAAGTCTAAAAGTTGGAGGTGTTTTGGTTCTGTCATACTGTAGAGTGTATCTGTGACTGTTGTTTGGTATAACTCTAATAATTTTTTGAGACTTTTCGATGCAATTTTAGTGTCGTTTAGATGCGATTCTAGTGTCGTTTTTGTGTGACTCTAGTGCAATTGTTTTTGGTGCAATTATAATTTTGTTTTAGAGAGAAACTAATGCTACTGTTTTTGTGTAATTCGATTGTTCTTTTAAGACTTATCCTGTGCAATTTTAGTGTTGTTTTAGTGTGATTCTAGTATTGTTTTACTTTGACCCTAGTGTAGTTAATTTTGGTGCAACTCTAGTCCTGTTTTAGTGAAAATTTGTTGTTGTTGTTTCAGTGTACTTTAGGTGTTGTTTGAGGCTCTTCACTCGAGCATGAACTTCTTCTTATTGCTACATCGACCACATTCACTCCATTGCCTGTCATGCTTACTTGCAACTAGTACATCAAATAACAAGAAGAGATTAATGAGCCAGAACTCTGAAGATAAGTAATATAATTTGCATTTGTAATACCTCAAAATCATGAATAGGCACCAATAATGACATAGCATTCTTGTTATTTGAGTTTTGATAGATTACTTTACAGTTTTTTCATATAGAAGAAATGAATGATCGGTAAATTTTAGTCTTTGTAGTTTTCTGGATGTGCATTGTATTGCAGTATTCATAGAATTGATTTATACTATCTGCTTTGATTAGACAGTTATTAGTATACACCTCTGGTTATAACCAACTGAAGAAGTTTGATAGTACTCCTGTCAATATGCATAAGTTAGTATTGTGGCATATATATAAACTACTTTAGTTGGTATGAGTAGAAGAATGACATAAACTTTAATAAGTTGGTAATCACACGTTTCCTATATCCTCCAAGAGAATAGACAGATTGTAGCTACTAATTTTGGGGACAAGTTTCTGATCTAGAAAAATATCGGTTATCTTTCAGATTATTCGAAAAGAGGCCGAGAATATCTCATTATGCGTAAAGTACTGTAGTCTAGCAGTTGCTATACTTTGTGTCAGGCTTTTGTTGCGATTCTTATGTCATTTTAGTGTGAATCTAGTGCAGTTGTTTTCATGTAATTCTGATGTTGGTTGGCTAATTTTTGAGTGTTTCTGGTGTTGTTTGATAACAGAAATCAGTTTGTTTTGAGGTTCATCTATTCTAGAAATGTGCGAGTTCAAGTATGATCTTTATTCTGCAATACAAAGGAGTTCAAAATTATATGTCTAAGTTAATTACTACAACTTATAAATGACATTTCATGGACCAACTAATATAAGTTGCACTGTCACCATTTCATTGAATTTTCCTTGCAACAATTATCAACTAATACTATGCGCTAGAGTATTATATGCACATGGAAATCAGATAGCCTATTTTGCTATAGCAACACAGTTCTTTCCTTGGAAGATAATAGAGATGTCTTTTAAGCTTAAAAGCTTGTGTGTTTTTATGCATTTTCCTTAAAAAATTATTTTGTTCCCTATCTTTTAATGCTTTCTCATTTTCTCTAGTTATTATAGGAAAAATATGAAGAAATATTACGGAAAAACAGTGTATCAATCTGATATTGATATTGATCAATGTGAAGCATATTATCAAGTTGCGGGGAGAGAAAAGAAAAGAAGAATATACGGTCTTGGATTTGAAGCAAGAATTTATTAGGGGCAAAATCTTTATGGTTCATAATCATTACCACCTTCATTTTCTCAATCAACATCGATAACAAATATGGATGAGTTTGTAAAGCAAATGATGTCTGCACTAACTAGTCATCTTGTTCCTATTATTGTTGAGCAGGTGCAAGCATCGATTACTCCATCCGGCAATCCATCGATTGTGACACCCATAGTGCCTGTTGTTACTAATGTGGACGAGGTTGATACCTTAATTTCAAGTGAAGATCGTATCCCTTAGTCTCCCACAACTTTAGTTTTTGATGATGTCATATTTTTTTGAACGAATTGCGTAGCAATATTTTGATGAACGTAGGTTCATTTAATAGCACTTGATATATTTCTTTGGATATATTTAACAAAAAAATATGTGGTTTTGAAGTTTTCTATTTATATATTATGAATTGGCTATGAGTATTATATTATATGAATGTTTAGTCATTGTTATGAAAGAATGTTGGGATGGATCAACAACGAATTATTGAAGGCCTGATATGTTGTATGTTGTGACGGAAATTTCATCGCAAATTTATCCAAAATGATGAAATGAATTATTAAATTAGCGACAAAACTATATAAATATAATGACAAATTACTCCGTTTCTAACATGTGTGAACGAAAATATTTCGTCACTATGACGTCGCTAAACTTGTGACGGAACTTATTTTTCATCGTAGAATCATGAAATTAGCAACAAAATTATATAAATATAATGACGACTGCGACGAAAATGTTTCATCACTATGACGTTGCTAAACTTGTGACGGAACTCATTTTTCGTCACTAAGAGCTTACTAACGAGCGTTATAGCAACAGTCAATACTCCATTGCTAATCTGTCACTAATCATGATTAGTGACGAATTTTCATTATATAGTGAGGGATTGTGTCCGTTGCTAAACGTTGTTTTTTTAGTAGTGTTAGTTTGGCCACTTTGGTAACTAACAAACTATATAAAATACAAAACACACATAATATCATAAAACTTTATGCATGTGCATAATTTTAAATATTTTAGTTTGACCACTTTGGTGAGTAACAAACTATAAAAACATTATATATGCATCAAGTGATCATAAACATGATGTGTGTAGACGTTAATTTTCTCTAGTTTGGCCACTTTGGTGACTAACAAACTATATACATACAAAGCACACCTAATATCATAAAATTTTGTGCATGTGCATAATGTTAAAAATTTTAGTTTGTCCATTTTGGAGACTAACAAACTATAGAAACATAATACATGGATCAAGTGAACATAAATATGATATGTCTAGACATTAATTTTTTTTTTAATTTGACCACTTTAATGACTAACAAAATATATTTCACTAAATATACACATATTATTTATTACATAATGACCACTTTAATTTATTACACAATCTAAAATAAATATAATTATTACATTAGGAAAATATCAAGATTGTTCAGAATTTCTGCATCAATTTATGAAAAACAACCTACATAATTATATATTTACAATGTTTTTAATAAAGTCACTAAAAGAAAAAATCTTTTGTCTAGTCTCAAACATCATCTTGAGTTTCCCTTCACTTATATTTCATTTCTTCGAGATATTTTTTTTAAATATCCTTTGTTTAGGTCAGAAAAACATATGCTATAATATGCAAACATATGTTAATAATAAGTTATAACATTAGAAAATATTTGTTTCATACATAATTGATAATTAATGTTACTCCATTATTTAAATAAATCAACAGATTTTTGATACAATAAGAAAATAATTTGTATAAAGAATCTGTGGTAAGTTTCGTCACCAATACATGCAATCAAGCAATAACATAGGACGAAATAGATATTTTTTTTATCTCTTTTATATACGAAGGTTATCCGTTCAAATAATTCTCACTCCGATGCCACATGCAAGATTAAATATTTTATAATATAATATTAGGATCTTGAACACAATAATCTTACATAAAAATTGATAGGGACACATACCTGATTAAGAAAACATTATCAGACAGAAAAGTGGAATCGTTAGTCGTAATATGGTTTCTACCCTACTTACCCTGACTTTATGTTACCACAACCGTCAGCGATGAAATTATTGTTGAAAATATGTAATAACCCTGATGGGTGGAGGGAGGACCAATTTATAGAGGTTATGATTTAATCTGGTATGTCTATGAAGTAATCAATCTACGGACGAGATCTACTATTTGTGGTATTACTTGAATTACAAGTAAACTTGAATCATAAATAAAAAATAATTAATAATAATTAAATAATAATTCTTACATCTTCACCTTCAAGCTTCAAATTCAATGATTTTGGTATGTGAGATTTTATTAATGAATATTCTTTCAACCATTGAGTCCTTAAAAAACCTATATTTTCATATATTAAATTATATAGAAATCTAGGATTATTATGATCATCATAGATTTAATGGAAAAGGGTCTAAAATAGTCTCGAAGTATTGGAAATGGTACAAAATTACCCTCCATCTACCTATTGGCTCCAAAATGTCCTTCTCATCTATCTATTGGCTCCAAAATACTCTTGTCATCCACCTTTGAGTTCAAAATTGACCACTTATTTAACTATTTTAAAATTAAACTATTTAAATATTTTTTAAAATACTTGGCGCTCAACTATTAGTTATAATTTAATTTATTAATATAATTTATAAACCAACTCACTAGCGACTCATTATTAACTAAACCCCACCGAATTAATAAACCAATTATAATATCAAAATTGTCATAAACAGTACTACTAAAACACGACGAAATTATAGATTCCTGAAAATGACATCCAAAATTATTCGACTCTGAATCAAAGCCCCAATTAAATTTAGGTTGAACCCTTATTTAGGAGGAAACTTTTAATAGGAATTTATATCAAGCTTGAAATCAAAATCTATGATTAAAGTTAAAGAAGTAGTACATCCGAATTAATTCATGCACTTTTTTAAATATATTTTTATAAATATTTATGGTTTGTTTTAAAACCTTAATATATTATTTTTTTAAAAAAATTATCTATGAAGTAACATCACATAATTGAGACGAACGAATAATTAAGATGAACATAGTCATACTTTTAAGTTTATCATTAATTTTTATTTAGACACTTGAATGTATGATAATTTACTTCCATAGATATTTTCGCCTCAAATTTTCAAAAACTCTCATTGGAAGTAGCTTTCTTGTTGTTGCATTAGTAACGTGACGGGTTTATTATTTCGGTGAGGTTTAATTAGTAATGGGTGGGTAGTGAATTGATTTATAAATTATATTAATAATTTAAATTATAACAAATAGTTGAGTGCAACGTATTTAAAAAAGTATTTAAATAGTTTAAATCTAAAACCGTTAAATAAGTGGTCAATTTTGAATCCAAAGGTGGATGACAAGGGTATTTTGGAGACAATAGGTTGGTGGGGAGGGTATTTTGGAGCCAATAGGTGGATGAAGAGTAATTTTATACCATTTTCAATACTTCAAGGGTATTTTAGGCCCTTTCCGTAGATTTAAATGGTGATTTATAGTTTCTCTTTGTTACTAACCTAAATACATGTTTCCCCTTAAATATTAGCATAAATTATGTACGGAGTTAGGAGTATTATTTGAGACTGAGCAAATATAAGGATGAAGGGTCATCCGTCAATTTAGGACAAAAGCATTTACACTATGTTTGGATCATTTTTATTCATTGTATTGTATTGTATTGTATTGTTACTATACCTACAATGTTTGTTTTAATTGTTACTTAAAATGCATTGTATTGTATTGTTAAATTTCGTTGTTACGAAACAATGCAAACCCCTATTTTGTGGAACAACCAATTCGATGTGTTCCCGTTGTTACTTAGTTTCTTTTTCCAATTATATCTTTACATAATATTTTAAAATACTATTTTACTCTTTACCTTAATTATTTAAACATAGTCAAACCTCCTATTCTAGAATAATTAAGGATATTTAAGTAAATTTATAAATTACAATACAGTACGATACAATCAAACCAAACAATTAAAATGTTACTAAACAACAACAAACAATACAATCTAGCCAAACATTGTATCTACCATACAATACAGTACAATACATTATGAAATAATGGGTAACAATGATCCAAACAAAGTGTTAATAACAATCTCTAAGTTGTAGAACAACCTTCACCAGCAATCAAATTTTTTAAGTTGTTTAGATAAAGATTTGACTTGATGTTCATTAAAATCCGTCATTGAGAAGTTTGAAAACTCAAATTTTGATACTCAATTTACCATAAACGTGAATCATTTCAAATGAATAATATATTGAAAGAATTGAGAGAAGCTCATATCTAAAATTTGAGTAGTTTAGAAGAAGGTTTGAGTTGATGTACATTGAAATCTTTCAACAAAGAGCTTGGAAGCTCAAATTTAAAACTCACCCTACCAAATATGAGTTATTTCGAGAGAATAATATATTAAAATATTAAAACATCAATCTCAAATTGATCAAGTGGGCTTTCTAAGAGATCCGCATTCGTATTCACTGCATTATTCGTATTCACTGCATTGGAATAGGCTGAACCCCCTACAATCTCGTTAAATTGTTTTAGGGCAAAGTCATAGTGCTCACCCTGTTTGTCTTTTAAATGTTCTAAAATTTCTAAGAGGAGTTCATATCTATAATTTAGGACTACTAAGAGGAATTTGAATTGGTCGGGATTTTAAAAAAAGTCAACTTATTGAAAAAAATGTATTGCTTTAATGTATAAATATTGTATAACAATGTATATTATATATATATGTGTGTGTGTGTGTGAGTGTGTGTTTTTATATATTTACTAGTAATATATTATTATTTTTCTAGAGATAGCAATTTTGTCTCTATATCCATACACACAAATATTTAAATTTGAAAAATCAATCTAAATACTGAATTTGCAGCTATAAATATTTGAAGCAATAGATTGAAGGTTTGGAGTTTTAAATGTTTAAAAGTTCGAAAATTTGACAGTTTGAAGGCCCGAAATTTTAAAATATTTGAAGATGCAATCAACAATTGCTATTTTTATCATACATGAACTTCTAAGAAATAGATGAGCACATCCATATATGCTGATATATATGCATCATATAATAATCTTGAAACTGTCATACAGATTGATAGATATTAATCATCAACCAAACACAAATACACAAATATATATATATATATATATATATATATATATATATGTATGTATGTATGTATGTATGTATGTATGTATGTATATGTATATATATAATCTAATAGAGGCAGAGTTAGGTGGGGGTTCGTGGGTTCGAACGAAACCATTAGCTTTTCTGAAGATATCATAGATCATTAAAAAAATTAATCGACCGTTCTAAAGAAAATTTAGAGTTCCAAACTCTTAATTGTGGCTCTTCCCCGGTCCATAAACATT